TTTAGAACTTGGCGCCTGCTGTATGGATGCAGCGAAGAAGCATGATAGATATCAGCGACAGCAGAAATATTGGGATGTTGATGCAGAAGCTGGCAAATTGGAAAAGTAACATTCATGACAACGTATGCTGGATAATATGATCATGTGGGGTCTGTTGGAAGGCGGGTTAAGTTAATCCCTTCCCCCTAATATAAAAGGTCCCCCCCTTGTATAAAAACCCCCAAAGGGTTTTTAATATTAGGGGGGGTTCTTATCGTTTGTCCGAGAAACCAGCCCTTAACTCTAAACCCTAAACCCCAAAGCCGCCCTAAACCCTAAACTAAACCCTAAGCCCCTAAACTGTGCAGAGAAGGCTGCCAGTCAGGCCGCCCAGTGCAGGCCTCCGAGAAAGCCAGGCAGACAAGCACAGAGCAGACAGTCTGGCAAAAACAGTCAGAGCCTTGCAGCCTTAGCCATCTGAGAGGGGTCAGGGTTAGGGTTTACTTAGGTTTAGGGTCGAGGGTTTAGGCTTACTTATGAGGGTTTAGGGTTTAGGGATAGAGTTTAGGATTTACTTTCCAAGCCTTTCCCCCCCCCTAACCCCCCCCTGTCTCTGTAGGAGTTTTAATGGGGACAGACACGGGATCGGTATTTGGGGCCGGGGGGATTTTTATATTAGGGGGGGTATTAATATTAGGGGGAAGGGATTAATGGTCTTTGGAGGCATCCCTGATGGTCTCCACACAAGTAGGGGTAGAAACTGTCTTTTTGATGGCAGGGACTCAACTTGCAAGGCTGAGAATTTGATCGGTTTAGGGTTGTTGGTGTTTACGGCGACTTCGACCACTCGCCGTCAGGCTCAAGCAGATGTATGGCCCGAACCCCACACCATACGCACTAAACCCTAAGCCTCTCCTTGAAAGATTAAGATTCAGGATGTTACTAGAAGTGAGAGTGGTCCCGTATTCCACTTGTTTTATCCGTTAGGTTTTCTGACAAAGGCCCCATGTACGCAAAACAAGGTGCACTTTGTTTGTTGTGCTAGGCCACTCTGGGACCCAGGTTAAAGGCTCCGGGTTCAGGGATTGCCAACCCCTGGGCATGGTCCAAGGGAGTCCAGGCCGATGTCATGGGTGGAGCGTTCGTTCACTGAGGTCGATGCTGAGTTGCTGCAAGGAAGGGATTCGGGTCAGGGCTCAATCGGGTTCAGGTGGGTCAGGTTTAGGAGAGCTTTTTAACAACAGTTGAGCGTTCGGGGTTCATGACTTTGGGTCGAGGTGTTCTTTCGATTGAGAGCCTAGCAATCGGGTATCCCCGCTCCCCTGGCCCGAGAAGATCCTCTTCAACCCTGACCCTGAACACTCAATGCCCAACACCTACCTGCAACTCAAATGGAAGGACAAACTACAGTACCATAACGGCATGCAAGACATGGCAAGACGTGCAGAATCCTTGTAAAAGCCTGGTACTTGAATGGCTGGTATGGCGGGTGTGTGTGTGTGTGACTTCTCCATCGCTTGCGAGGAGTGCCCTTGAGTATTTGCCTCAGCGGCTGGGCTCAGCACTGGGCTTCTTCCGCGGCCGAGAACGGAGGCAAGACCGGTACGAGGCTCAGCCGGCCGACGAATTTCTTCGACGCCTTCCTCAGCCATGATTGGGAGACTTGTTGGGACAAGAACGTGAAGCTTGTTCTTTTTGCCCACTGTAAAATCTGCAGAGACAATTCAGATGAAGCTTAAGCTGCCTTAGTGTTTCGGCTGATCCGCTTGAGGAAACGACCCGTTGGCTAAAGCTCCTGTCGCTGTTGATCCTCTTCAATGCCCGGGCTGCCGTGGTTGGCACTGTGCTGGTGAGCTTGGTGCTCGGAGTCCTCCTTGTCCATGGGTACTTGCCGACCAGTGACCAGGTCGTCCACTGCAACCTTTTGTCTTATTTCTTCCACTTTTTAAGGCTTAGAGGTCCTTAAGGTTCCTAAGAAGCCTTCGGCCTTGGCAAACTTGAGGGTTTGGCCTCAAGTTCCTAGACACAAAACGCTACATGGCTTGGGCTTCCCCAAAGCCCTCTCTGCCGGTGAGTGGGGGGTGGGGGCGGGTTTCAGAGTGCTTCTCCTGGCTTTTCCTCAACAACCCAGAGCAGAGCTGAGGTGTAACTCTGTTTCTTGATATTCAGCGTTCCTTAAGGTGATGCCATCGTGCTCGTGGCATATGGCGCCTTCATATTCTTTCTGTGCTTTTGGCAAAGAGTCCGTGCGCTTCTCTGCTGCTCTACGATGCTGGGACGCCATCTTAGACATGTTTCTGCAACACCGCTTAAACCTAGAACGCAACGCTACCGATCCTGCCGGTGGTCGGACTTAAAGACATCATACCTATGCGTGCCCCAAAAGACTCCCAACAGTGCTGAGGGGACAACCAACCAAGTGATGGCTTCAGTGGGTGAACCGATCCCCCGAAGCCCAAGGATTGTCTTCCTGGACAAGCTTTGCATCGACCAGGAGGACTACGCAAAGAAGGAGCTCTGATGCGCAGTGATCCAGGGTTCGAGGTTTGGGGGGGCTACTTCATCAGGATTTCATAAGGCTTAGAAGGCTTCGAGGCTAACAGAGATTCGAGCTGGCAAAGTGTGCATGCCCAGAGCCCCGACTCTCGGACTCGGAAGGAGCAGGGGATTCTCGGCCTCGGTGCTTTCTTGAAAGTCTCGAGAAAGCTTGTGATCTTGTGGTCTCAAAGGCAGGGCGGCAGGGCACTCTAAGAGCTGAGGGGAGGTTTGAAAGGTGTAGCATCTGGTGGGTATAGTCGCAGAGGTTCAGGGCTTTGGTCTTCGCATCGGATCCGGGAACGAAGTCAAAGGTTTTGAGCCTGCCTTTGCATTCATATTCTTTGTAGTGCACAAGCAGGTTTAGAGATTTATGTTCAACAGCCACCAACATCAACAGCAACAACAAGAGCTACTAGAACAAGAGCAACAAAAGCAAATGCAATTTCAAGTTCAGGCTCGAGGTTCTTTCTGGTGCAGCAGGCCATCCAAATCGGCGTCCGAATGGGCGTAGGCCACTGCACCCTAAAGCACGCACACAGCACACGCGTGCAGACACACACACACACACACACACACACACACAGACAGACGGAGGTAAGCGCCTTCCCCTTTCGGTTTTGGTATGCTTTAGCCCGAGCCCGTGTTCTTGGTACCCGTGTTTAAGGTGCCCCAGTTTTCACCCTGCCTGCACGGGCCACGCCTTGGCCCTCCCAGCTCATAGCAACCCGTGTTGCTCACGTCTTGCCTTGCAGCAGCAGAAGCAACAGCACTGCCGTAACGGCGGCCCGAACCCTGCAGCAAGCCGCCCGCTGGGCCAAGGCTACTGCAGACAAAGCACACACACACACACACGTCGCAGGTATTTTCGCCGCTTGTGGTGTACATATGAGTTAGTGACCTTCCTGCAACTTCACGGCGACGAAGCTCGAGTCCATGTCATGCCTGTCAAGCAACTTGGAGCAGATGCAAGTGTTTTGTTGGGTTGGGCAGCGCATGGCGTTGCTTTTTGCTGTAGAGTTTGGGGTCCAGTGCATGCGTGTGAAATCAAACTTGGGAACCAAAGCTGAAGTTGTTGTTCGGCGAGAGAGATGCCCCTGCCCTGCCACCTATGTTTGTAAAACCCTTGATAATGCTGCGCAATCTCCATATGAACCTCTGACCTGGTAAAGAACGCGAAAACAGTCTTGGTATTTGACCCGAAACATGTTGATTCAAGACCCAAAGTTTCAAATCAGGCCAAATGCCTTTAATTTAATAATTAATGAACAACTTTGAACTTCATGTACTCCCGCGCAGATCTATCACCCAGTCGATAAGTCCTAAACTCAAACCAACAGAAATCCGAAGCCCCCAAGGCACTCCATCTTGGTCTGCGTAATGTGTGCCCTCTGGGCGAGGCTCAGCCCGCATGATGTTTTGCGAAGGTGCTCAGGTAGGGCTGAAGTCTACGTTTAAGGTTCATCATGCCGCGCCGGGAGTTTGGGTTGGTTTATAACTTTGTGGCGGGATGGTTCAGTACAATCCTTGCATGGCCCCGCTGACCTGACCCAAGAACAGCAAGATCCTACACCCTTAGACTTGGTCCACAAACCCATACAAACCCCAAACCAAAAGCGCTACGCCTTCGACCCAGAATCCAAGGAGTATCCGCTTCAGCTATCGAATCATGCTCAGCACCCGAGCCGATCCTTTCTGGGGCCCGCTTGTCATTGTTGCGTGGGTGGTGCAGTTGATCCTCGGTTCAATGGCTGGGGTTTCAAGTTTCAAGATAGGATTCGGGATTCGGTTTGGAGTCTAGAGTTTGGGCTTGCGAGGCAAGTGGCGATTGTCCCCAAGGAGTGTCAGCAACCGTGTTTGAGTTTCCGATGATGCTTTTTGACCCAAACAGCTCCTCATGTTTGCCTTACAAGAGTGCCTGCCCAGGTTCATGGTTCTTCCGCTGTACAACTACCTTGGCATAGGGCTCTTCGCCGACATCGAAGAGCTACCGCAACAGCTGCGGCACTTCCGGATCCAGGATTCGCAATGCACGTGCTGCTCGCAGAATCACAAGAACCCGGACACTGGAAAGGACATGCCATGACATGCCCCTTGTTCGGCTTTGTGATTGTAGCCAGAGTTCGTGATGATTATACCATCGACAATGCGACTGATAGAACATACTCTTATGCATTGTAGTTCCCCACTCCAAGTTAAACATGTACACAAAAATCAACTAGACTTGATTTTTATATTCGGAGGCAAAGTATACTTTCAACTTGTACTGTTCGAGATAGCCGGGAATATTGGAAGAGAATGGAGGACAGCTACTGGGACTACCGGTGCGCTAAACAAGTGTTGTAATCAGGGGCTTGTTTGTATTTTGAAACAATTGTAACTAAGGGCTAGCTATACTGAAATAGAATTGTAGCAAATGGCTTGCAGTTTGAGTACGTACTCCCCAGCTGGTTGGCGGACAAGATTGGGACAGCTCAGCGTTTTGTGGCCTGCAGACCCAAGAAGAGTGAGAGAGACTACACAGTACTGTTGGGGCCCAGCTCCAGCTATCCAGCTTCCAGCTTGAAGAGAGGGCGGGATTGCACTGAGCATGAAGTGCACTTGCGGCAGCCACAGATTTCGCGACAGGGCTGGCCACGGGATGGGCTGAGCTTGCAGAGCGTTAAGGGGGTCCCACCGTAGACGCTAGGTCTTGCTCTCGTTACTGGTGCACTTCGACAGCGATGAGGGCTCGATGTCGACAGAAGCATTGCGAAGCATAGACATGCGATGTGGCACTCATGATGCGAAGTACGACTTGCCATAATTTTAGGCCATTTCACATGCTGCCCATGCTGCTCCAAGCAACTCTGCAGGATGCGCGGTCGCATGCGCCATGTTGATGCTTACATTCAGTTTTTTCGTGCCGAATTGATTCCCAAACCCTGTTTCTGCATTCACTCTGCACAAGTTGCTGAAAACATCAAGACGCCAGACCACGCCATGGCTGACAAGGACATCAGCCAGCACCAAAGCCCACTTGTGCAAAACTGCGCGTCGTCGCCTCAAGTTCAGCCAAGCCGGCCATGGCGCGCAGGATGAAGGTTGCCAGCCACATTCTTCAACGAAAACGAGAGCATCCCAAAGATTAAGCTTGACTGCCCCAAACCTTGCGATGCTATGCACGCTGAAGGAGATGATGTGCGACCGCGAACTCGTCTTTAGCAAGCTCCGCGCTTTGCAGATCCGCGAGGGGTCCAGTGGACAGCGGGAAAGTGGCACAGAAGAACACCTGGAATCTTGGCTTCGGGTTGTGGGGTTTTGTGGTTAAAAGACTCATGGTGCCTGTTGCAAAGCCTCACCTCAGGACCGTCATGCTTTGTGCGCTTAGAAATGTGCAGAAGCCAGGGGTTTGAGAACACCTTGAGACATTTCGAGCCCTCGCGAGCTTTTGGGGATCCATGCACCGAATACACCACCCTGACCCCTCATTTAACAGCTGAGGCTTTGCAAAACACAGATGAAAGATGATGAAAGTATGGCTGTTGAACAGTAGCTCACCGGCTTTAGTCCGCTCTTCGGCTGTGTATCCGAAGCAACCAAAATTCTCAAATCGCCCCCCCCCCCCCCCCCAGGAGTGGTTCAACAACCTCGTGCATGTTCGGCTCACCAAGCGGCTCTCAGATCCTGTGATGGGCGACATCATGCTGCAGTCAAACTTTCTCTTGCTGCTCTGAATGAGAACAGCTGGGGTTCAAATGTCAGGGCTTTGTAGGGATGACGATGTTGTTGGTCTAATTGGTGGGCGGGGCCCTAGCTACGATTGCGGAAGGGGAAATGGAGAGGGACTTGACAGCCAAGCAGATTTAAGAAAAAAATGGGGATTTGTAAACTACAACTCTGAATGCACCCCCCCGAAAACCTGAAGTCCAGGACGGAGATTCGCCCACCCTCTCGGCCAACCCGATGCCTTCCTGGAAGGGAGCGGATTGAACCCGGGCCCCTTCGAAACCAGGTCAGGCCCAGCCAACCCACACCCAAACCCCCGCAACCCCAACTTCCCAATGTAAACCCAAGCCCCTTCAAAACAAGGCCACCCCAAACCCCCACCCAACCCCGGGTTCCCAACCTTATTTGAACCCCAGGCCCCCTTCAAAACAAGGTCAAGCCCAAGTTTGGGGGATGGTAGGGTGTAGGGATGGTGTCGGGTCCTGGAGGGTAAAGCTTCCGTGCCTGATGCTCGCAATGAAAATTCCCTTGGAAGGTTTATGATGGGAACCAACACGCCCTGGCTTTCGACGTGGGTCGTGAGTTTGGCCAAGGGTCCCCCTGAGGGAAGCGAAGATCTGCTGGGTTTCTGGCTGCTCCGCGAGGCCAAAAGATGCCCCAAAAGCAAGGGATTCGGAGAATGCTAAAGGCGCGAAAGGCTCGCCAAGGCCCTCCCCCCGCCCAAGTTCTGGCCCCCATGTGATGCCCCTTGTGGTGGAGGGGGTGGGGGGTAAGGTTTGGGCTTTAGGGTTTAGGGTTTAAGTGCTTAGGGTTTCATGGTTTTGTGGTCTCAGGGTTTTTAAAGTTTCGTTTTGCAATTAAGGGTTGTTTAGGATTGCAGGTTTTTGGGGTTCAGGACTGCGGGGTTTTAGGGATTGGGTTTAGGGGTGGGGAGGGATACCATGCTATCGACACAGCGACACGGAACCATGTATGGTCAGGCGTCTGGCGTGTCCGGCACTAAACCAAGCCCTAAAACCGGCCAAAAGCACCCCACAGAGAAAACAAGGAGGGGTGTACCATACCATGGGGATAGGAGGTCCGTCTGAGGCTTCGAAGCAACGAGATGAAAAGTTGTGATCAGGGAGTTCTGGCTTTCGGTCGAGGCCGATGCGAGTGTAGTGAATGCTGGGTCAGGGCTTTGGGTTGCAAGCTTGAGGAAAGGTTTCAGCCTTATCGCGGCTTATACGCTCTTATCGGCAATTGAGTTGGGATTTGCTGAGAGGTGGCTGATCATGC